TCAAATACGTGGCTTGGTCCGTCAACTGCTCGTTCGTTTATGCAGCCGACATTTTTAACACACTTCTGATAAGGTACAGGGAGACTCCTGTCTCAGAAATTACGGTCTCTTCTTACAACAAGTGAGGCCGGTTTTGTTTTTTATTTCTTCAAATTTTAAAATAATTTAAATTAAACTGCTTGGTTGAATATTTGGATTTTTTGTTGGAATTCTCATTTTTTAAATTTTTGTATTGTTTTAAATAACTAAATTAAATTAACTTGAAGAGGAGAACTGATAGAAGATGGTGAGTCCCTCAAGTTGTATTGCCTCAAAAACGTTTATTGTGCCATCTACAGCGATCCGCTTTCTGACTCTAAGTTTTACAGGTGAGACAGAAACAACTTCATTTTTATTTAGTAGTCAAACAATTTCAAACAAACTTAGCAACAGTGTGTTAGTGAATTAATACATTTCCACTCTTCTTTTTCCTTTCTCTCTCTTTAAATTGTTTTATTAAAAATATTGAATCATTCAAGTTTTAATATTTCCTCAAAGAGTGATTTATGTTTATTATATGTTTATAATTTAATTAAATTCATAGTCAAGTTAGTGCTTGAAATATGTTCTTTTTAAAATTTTCATCATTTACGGTTCTTAATTAAAATCTTATAAGCCTATGTGTGATTTTATAAATTTATTTTTTATTTTGTTTCAATTTTCATATAGTTGAATAATGTTTAATTTCTGAAACAAAAATTTTATATTAAATATAGGAATCATGAATTTTTAAAATTATGTTTTTCAAAATTAGAATTTTCAATGAGAATGATCTAGAGGCAGCTACTAAACGCTACAAACTGTTGAATGAAAAGCTACCTCACCTTGCAAGTTGCTACAAAGAGGTCAATGTAGCAACCCTGAAGCACATTGTGAAGTCAATTGAACGTTTTCCACATTACAGTCTCGCCCATCTCTCCCTCATCATCGATGCTGAAAATTGTCTTGAAACTGAAAACTTTTTGAGGTGTGTGGATCACTCAGTCACATCACAATGGCATTGTTTGTTTGTTTGTTTGTTTGTTCGTTCGTTTGTTTGTTTGTTTGTTAGTTTGTTGTGAG